TCTTTCGAACGAGCTATCACAAAGGGGGTCTTCCCATTTGAAAATTAAAAGTTGGGGGCCGTTGCCCCCTCAAGGGGGGCCCCCCTGAAAATTTTAGGGGGGCCAAAAAGTAGCTCCTTTTGACCTAGGAATATCCCCCAAGTTTCAAATCTTTACCTCAATTAGGTAAAAAGTTAGAGGGGGTGGAAGGGACTTTTGGATCACCCTGTATAGGATACTTTGACGTCATACGTTGTTTGTACGTACACAAGAGGATATGTGCGAGGGTATTTCTTTATCTTTCTTTTCCTTTGCTTTTTCATTGCTTCTATCTTTAAAACCCCTAATTTTCTAAATGCAAATGTATTTTCTTATCTCATCTCATCACATACTCACCTCTCATCATACAGCACTGCTTCCAGAGCTGATTTAACTTTCTCATATGAGCTGAGTTCTCGAGGTAGCAGCTGCACTCCAATTTTAGCGTCCACCATCTTAGCTACCATGCATTCTTGATCTCCAAACCAAGGAATACCAACCGTTGGAACACCATAGTGGACTGTCTCCTGGAAACTTTGTAGTCCCCCTTGTGTCACAAAGACTCGTAGTTTTGGATGCGCTGTGATGAATGAAAGAGGGAAAAAATTAAGGATAAAACACAGCTAAATTTCAAGCTGAATACAGGAGTGCACTAACAAAATGAATTCATCGTATATTGAATGGAAGAACTTATCTGCAAAAATTTAAAATTAAATCAGAGAAAACGAAAACACACCAACTCGGTGACTCGAAAATGCTCACTTTTCACTAAGAACATACAATTTTCAGAAAGGTCATTGAAGTTACCGTATCTGTCCCAACGCGGACATTTAAAGTGTCCTTAAGTACTTGCTTTTAGGCACCAAAAATCATCTTCTTAGACCAAATTCTTCACCTAATATGCAGTTCTGCGTGTCTTGATTATTTTAATTTTTTCGAGTTAGTGTGTTTCCGTTCTCACTGATTCAATCATCGTATAGTTTAATAGCTCTTTTGCCCATGATAATTTTCAAGAAACACGTAGACATTTAAAATTAAAAATGAATTATCAAAAAAAAGTATATATAAATGGTAATATGATCCATGGTTACTATGGTCGTGCAGTGATAACGCACACGGAAAAAAATAGGGTAGTCGACAGAACCGGCCGCTGGTTGTGTCGACTACCCCATTTTTTCCGTGCGTAGAACAAAAAGCATGGCCGCGGCGCGGGAAAGAAAGGCGATGATATATTTGGCAATTCGAACTTCTATGGAAGCCATAACTACGTGACTTTAACTCATATACTCATAAAATCGTTCAAAATAATCCGGTAAAATAATTTAGTCAACTAGGTGCATTGTCTACTTTTCAGGAATGCAAGAATTAAAACTTCCGGCACAGACTAATTGAGTACGAACTAATATTTTTACCGAGGACACTTTCCTGTGGAAGCCACTTTTGTGCCAAAATATTGTCGGATTGGCCTGGGATTGTCCCATCTAGCTCCCATTTCCAGATGACTCTATAACCAGATGGTAAATCTTTGAAAAATTTCAAGAAGTTGGCTCGAACTTCCAGAGGCAGAGATTTACTCTTCATGTTGCTACCAAGACTGAAATAAATCACTCCTCTCTCTGCTCCATCCATCCAGTCTTGCAAATTCTAGAGAAGAAAATAACAAAATTATAAATTAGAACACGGTGGTATAATCGTCATAAGGAGAACAAAAGGGACGAGAGAAAAAACAAAAGTGAAACATTTAAATAAGTAAATAGATGAAAAGAAATAGAATCCAACCTATTTATAATTCGATTCCTCAGTTTCACATATGTTTTGCTTGCCTATCAAAAGAAAAAAGTAGCATAAATCATAAAAAAGAATATTAGTTAATTGAAAATTGTGATGCTTAAAAAATCGCTGTATAAAAAATTAAGAAGATTCGGAAGAATACAGCACATCTGTAAGCAACAGCTTAGACATTTTTTGTTTTGGTGTATTTTTTAAATGATCTGCTGATAAATGTCTGGGCGACAAACCGCATCAGTGTGTCAATTGATACTTTCATAATTGAAAGATTTAACCATATTTCGAGAAACTCCCAAGCCACGTATCTCGTTTGCGGTGTTTAAACATCCAGATGCACAACATTTTACTCTTTTAGGGAAGAACAAATCAATATCATTCCCAAGGTATTATACAGAATTTGTTCTGCACAGCAGAAGATGAATCTCGAAAATTTTGAAGAATTGGCGTTGAGTTGTTTTCCATTTAAAAACTGGAGTACGACGGGAAGTCTGCAACGTCGCAAACCGAGATACGCGGGTTGAGAGTTTCGCCGTCGATTCATTTTATTTTAGCTAAAAACTATAACTATGTCGCTCTAGATCGCAATTTACTCATAGGAAGAAATAAAATGCTAAATATCACCCGGCTATTCCTCCTCCTTCGAATAGGTATTCCTCTCAAAATATTGTGAACCTAGCATTCTATAATCCTTCCACTAATCTAATCGTTAGGGATACTATAGAATCATTCTATCAAAAACTAAGTTTCAATCCAGTCAAAATTCGTTATGTGTATCGTTATCATTACGATCCTGCACGATTGCCGTGTTGTAAAACTGTTGCCTCTTCATAATTATCTAAAAAAATCTCCCGGAGTAGGAGATAGTTTTGGCTTCCCACCAAGAAAATTGTTAAATTTAAAGGGATTTAATCGAGTAAATGTTAATACCGTACATATTTTAAGTATTTATTAATGTAAAGAAGAGGTTGCACGAGTTTCATGATACTGTTATCGCGCTGATTCCTTTTTTGCGAAATGCGAGCCATGTATGACTTTGTCCCTTGCGCTGTAAATGGAGAAAACAACTTCGTGCGCGGGAACTGAAGTTGAGGTCATATGGATCTCTGAATTTTACGGATCACGCATCCGAAAACTTTATTGAGGCCCAGCTGCCAAAGTTCGGGTCACACATCCGAAGTGCTCCAGTACATACCTAAGTACTTCAGATGTCTGACCCGAACTTCGGCAGTTGGACCTCAAGTTCTCGGATGTCTGATCCGAAAACTTCGGAGATCCTCATGACCTCAACCTCGGGTCCGATGCACGAAGTTTTTTTCTCCGTGTAAATTACCTTTTCTTGTGCACACCATGTAGTAAGGGATATTACCTTGGGCAGTTTTCCAGGAGGTTTTATGTGCAAAGGTCCGAGTTCAATGATGTTTGGACCCAAGGCTCTGGGATAGTAATACATCGGATTCGACGCCACGAAGGTGAGACTAGCAGAGGACCAACACGAATCCGCAAGTTTTTCATTTTCAGGACCGTGTGCCTCTTGTATGTATTTTTTGGCTGCCTCGACGACTCCGTCCCTGAATTGTTTGTGGAGGTAGTGGTGCGAGAACCAGTTCTCGAATTTCTGCCAAAGGCTCATCCGGTCGGTGTAGTAGCTGAAGAGGTCAGGGGTGAAGGATAGGTGCGTCGGGCTCCCGATGTCGGGCTCCGTATGGGCGTCGGTTGCTATCGTCGACATCGCGATTATGGGTGCCGATCCGGGGAAGATCCGGGATATGAAGCAAGCGAAAGGTAGGTAAAATGTCTCTGCGATGACCACGTCGAATTTGATTTGTTCGGATAGCACGCGTCTAGAAATGAACGATGCCAAAAGATTTAGCACGACACTGAGAAAAAAGTTACGGACATTGTGGATATGCCGTCCGTTCCGGCCTCTAAGCCCGGAACGCGGACGGTATGTCTATTTATTTATTTAACATTAGTGTATATAAATGCCACATGGTGTGGCTCACAATACTTGCCAAAAAACCCCTTAATTTTTTCACATTAAAAACACATCACACAAAACACATTAATCTTCCACATTGGTTGGTGTGTAGGTGGCCAGTATGTCTGCCCCGGATGTTCGGTACTGAACTCCAGTGGTTACATGATAACGGCTGGGGTCAGGTCGCCACTCAATTTTTTACTTGTTTTTATGTTTTTTCGCAGCTGAAAATGAGCTGGTAACAGCTCGAAACGTCCTGTGTTTTAGTGTTTTAATACTCTTTTAGCCTTATTTACCCATATTTTAATTAAATCTCCTCTTTATTTACACATTAATATAGGTACATTAGAGATCATAGGAAAGCATTTGAGAATTTACAAAATAAAAGCACAGAAAATTACAGTTAGGTATATGGACGTATTTTTGTCAAACAGAACTATGTCCATTATGACGTGAGCCCCGGTATGCATATATTCTTATGGGTCTCAGGCCTCATGTCTTAATGCACATAGCTCCGTTTGATAGAAACACGTCCATATAGCCTGTGAGTACGGCTTCCACGGCCGGAGTTTTTTATCGAAGAAGATGGGTTGTCGTCACTTCCTGAACCATCGCTAAGTGCAATTTACTATACTATAAGTACAAGTACGTCACTGTTATATTACGAAGTAGAGGAATGCGTTAACTGTGAATCACTTACTGTTCAAAATGCCGATATTGCTCACTGAGAACTTGCTTCCTTGCGATGTCAGTAAACGGTTTTACGATTTCCTGAATGTCCCATTTCGACAACTGACCTTGTAAGTTCATTGTATCGTCATCGTTAGCTTCCTCATCAGAAATATATTTGTACGAAAAGGAGACGTCAATATACGTGTAGTTTTTGTGGTTCTTTAAACCCTGCGTCAAAAATATTATCGATGAGTTGAAATTTAATTTACTTAATTTCACTCACGGTAACGTAATCCTTGTTTTGTCGTTAGAGATTGATGAAGTTTCAACCTTTGTGCCATTTGTATTTGGACGTAGAATCATCAAATATCATCAGTAATGAAAGTTTGCTCTTTTATAAATACATGTAAAAGAATCGATATATAGATCGATGCTTAATGAGTTGCCTGGGGTCGATAATCTGTTAGATACTTCAATAGACTCACAAAAATCAGCATAGGTGCGTTCAAATATGTTTGGTCGGCTCTCTTCTTAAAAAATGTAAAATGATTTTACCCAAAAATAACGGTTTATTCATCTGAAATCATTTAATAATATCCGACTTGCAAGCCATAAGATTAAACACAACTGTTGTGCTTGAAAATGTTACCTTCTTGCTATTCCTGATCTCCTAATTGTTGTACGATTGAACGTTGACCATTTCGAGAGTTGTTTTCCCCATCTTCCTTCCTTAAACTTCTTTTAATCACTCTTATGCAACAAAGGACCTGAAGATGGGGAAACAGCTCCCGAAGTAGCCATCGTTCAATAGAAATAGTACAACAACTAGGATATCAAGAATAGCAGGTAGGTAACATTTGCAAAAATTATTATGAACCCTAAATAAAAAGAAAAAGACAATTAATAACAACTGTTGTTGCAATTCAGCGTGAATTTGAATTATACTATTCCTAAAAAATCCAGACAACCTTGCTTCCATTTAAATTAATCTATTGTCAAATGTTCTTCCGAATATTTGGTTAGTAGGAATGGGGGATAGTACTGCCGTGCTGAGGAAGAACGCCGTATGAACCTTCAGGCGTTGCCAAATTTCCTTGGATAAAACACAAATTTCCTGGTAAATTTATGAATATTTTCCCTGTAATTTTTCAGATAATTTTGTTCACAATTTCACCTGAAGTCCCTGAAAATTTGCAGGAAAAATATTCATAATTTTCCTCATAAATAAACATTGTATCGAAGGAAATTTGGCAACTCTCGAATGTTCATACGGCATTTTTCCTTAGCACGGCAGAGTAGTACTGAGCGAATATTTATGATAAATCCAGTCAGATAGTCTTCAGGATGTGAATACATACAGGCACGTCGTTTGGACTGATGACGAACAGTTCATGACCATCTTTTACCAGTCTCTCGATAATGGCCATGATTGGACGCTGATGACTAAATGATGGAGTGGGGTATACTACTAAGATTTTGTAAGCTTCCAAACCAGAGAACACACTTAGTATGATGAAAAAGTGGCGCGGAATCATTGTCGGGCAGGATTTGGCCGGGATGTCTAAACCGACAGAAAGTCCTGCGATGGTGACATCGAAATAATTTAGAGAAAATATGATAGGACAAATATGATCAGAAAGTTAGTGTCTAACAAAACATAAAATAATGAATAGGTACATAATAATAAAAAGAATAATTTTCCCCTTTATTTTTACTACTTGTTGACTTTGCGCATACTTTCACACTCTCGTCATGCTCTTCAAATATTTGTTGAAAATAATTTACTAAGTGACTAAAGCCATAAATACACCAAATCGTCAACTTACTAAACGAGGTCATTTGTTTTAAAAGTAAGCCTTAAAAAAAATTAATCAAAGCTGAGAAATTGGTACCATTGCTTGCGTAGAATAGTTTTGCACACAAAATACACTTAAAATTGTTATGCCAAACCGAACTTACGACGAGACGATTGGACGTTTGAAAAATAGTACTTTTGAACAAAATCTATATATTTCAAGTTTTAATCTGCGATAAGCGAGGTTCAATATGTGTCGCGATGTCTTACGCCCCCCTCGCGTCTCTACGATAATATAGGCAGAAAATGAATTAGACCACTTGTAGCTTAATATTTAAGATTGCGTTTCTCTCCAAAAATCGAAAAACATCTTTTGTTACTAACTTTTGCTCTCCTTAAAAACTTGCCCTCAAGCACGGAAGTTTTTTTCCCCGAAGATGGTCAGGAATGAAAGTATATAGTAGTCTCGGATTGTCAAAAAGTCAACTCTCGTGAAAAAAATAAAAAATATCTGTAGGGACTTTAAATTGAAACAAATTATCAGACGTATTTACACTTCAAGCGAGTGGTTTTTTTTGTTTCTCCTTCTTTCTACTCTTCAAAAAAAACGGTACCCGTAAATAATTGTTTGACATAAGATCAACAACCATGAAGAAGGGATATTTCATAATTTTTCAAAATAGTGCAAAGCTGCGATTTTTAATTTTTCGCTCCCCTTGCGAGTAAGGGAGTTATTGTCATCCTAAAAATAAAATTTAAAAAAAAAAAAAAAAAAAGTTGCAAAATCAATTCTTACCGGTCGCTTGACGAATATTTTGGAGAAGTTTTTCTTAATCCGCAGTTCCTCACTGCTACTCACATTCTGATTTTTGATTTGGCACGCACTAATTATTGTTTTCAATGAATTTGCGTCAGAAATATGGGATGATCCCACTTGAACCAGGTATTTCCTTCAAAAATGAAAACATATCATGAGATCGGAGGGGACACTGACGCAAATTCGGTCTCCTTGAATGATGCGGAAATCCAGACATATAATAATATCTAGACTGTCTACTTGAGCAAGAACGCTGGTAAAATGAAAAAATAAGATTACACATTTATTAATAATCTATCTTTTACAAGTGCATTGTCACTGAGCTGCCACTTGGACATAATGCACGTGCGATCGGTGAAAACTTAGATGCACTACAGTGCAATTGAATCCCATGTTCTCATTCAAATACGTGTCACCTTGACCTTGCACTCGATTGGAGCCCTGCATCTCCTTGCAACTGAGGGAGGAGCAATTGAACCATTCATTCATAGAGAGGCCCATACGTTTGAACATCAGAGACTACAGTATCGTTTTTTCATCATTACCTACTGAATTTGTGAAATCTGGCTCTTAAACTCTCGTGGGAAATGAATCGCAATTATGCATTATCTTTATCTAATACAGACAAACGAATGGCAGCTGATAAGACACCAGACTGTCATGGCAACCGTTTGGGGATTTGCATTGAATACAATTTTGAAAGCATAGCATTAGTCATGTAGATACCATCTCCTACCAACTTACGCGACATCTATTAAAGGATATGCACTTATTACTATCGGACCTTTACTTAATGTTTCAATATAGTACACCTAATTGCATCTGATCACAAAAATGAATATTCTCGCAGTCGTGCTTCTTGTTATAATGATGTTGATTTACCTCTTTTTTATTGCTAATATTAATTCAATTATGACAAAAAGTGCATAATTTCTTAAAAATGATAATTTTGACTCTCTTATTGTAGAGCGTTAAGCAGTTTTTACATCTGAAAACTATTTTGACGCGAATTGATCCGTCTTAATTACATTCGATCTGAATATACATACATTCGCAGGTGAACTCTTTTTTGTGGTTACGGTCAGTTTTTTAAAAAAATCGTGAAAATCAGCAACACAATATAAGGAATGCATACAATAACCGCGAATTTTGAAATGAACGGTTTTAATAAGAATCAGTCTAAGTAAAACGGACTTCCAGCGTCCGTTCTGCAATTTCATAATACATCTTGACAACAATGCAGAGGTGTAATGGATAATCATCGCGGTTGGGGAAACGAAAGAAAATTTTAAACGCCGGTAGAATGGGCTCTGAGCAGGTTAATGGCACCGCCGTGTTCGCACGCATAAAGGAACTAAGGCTGCCTGCTGAGCTTTTGCGCGAAGGCGGTGAAAGGTCTGTTGCAAGATTAGGAGAAAGCTGAAAAACCTTTCTGCCGGCAGCCATTCATTGATACACAACTTGAAGCTTTTCTTGGGCACCATTTCAGCACTAAAAGCACAGAAAGTGTGGGTGGAGATAAACCTCATCTCACTTTCAAGGTGCTTTTCCCAGAATAATCTCGTGAGAGTTTGATGGTCATTGGGATATCTGAAAATTAACCAAAGGCAAAATCGTTCTACAACGTGTATTTCACATGCATTGAAACATTTTAGAGGGGTGCTTTGGTCATTTTGAAACTCATTAGTTTAATTTATTGAAATACACCGTTTCCTAATGAGTGTCCGTTGCAGTGGTGGATACCAAGGGAGGCTGAAAATGGGACGATACGAAAAATCAATCCTTTCCGGATACAGTTAAAAAATACACCATCAAAGATCCAATTTTTTGGGAAATTTAGCACTTAAACTTACCATTGTGCCGATCAGAGGGAGCAGATTTTACCCTTTTCGCCCAATATTTCAAAATGGTTCCTATTGGAGAGGAAGAAAACCAAAAAGTAAAACATAAAAAGTAAAAATAGTATGAAAAACAGTGTTCATTAATCGAGTCAGTACTTTTGACCTAAATTAAAATAATCACTAACATTTTGTGGTCTCCTCGTAAAACTGTTTCAGTACGCACTTAGTTTTTATAGAGGCTGTAATGTATTGGCCAATATGCACTTACACATTGTGCTCATTTTCTTTTAAGTCAATTTTCCCCTCTCTCCTTCTTAACGCATGAGATGACACTGACCCATGACTGCCACTGTCGCTCCACCCCCCCTCTTGAATTCATCACTCCCAAGCTCGAAAAAAGCTCTCAAAATTCAGGCCGTAACTAAGGGGATATTCCACGATACATTCAAAACCTCTGTACATAGTCAAACTCTCCATTCACAGACATGGAGCAAATACAGTATTGGCAGGGTTGCCATTATGTTCGGCGACTCCTAGATTGGAATCACAGCAACCCTGCTAATGGATTTGCTCCCAATCTGCGCATAGTGAGTGTAACTGGGTTTAGAAGTGGACTTTCAGCGTGGCATGGAATATCCCCTCAATTAGGGCCCGAACTTTGAGAGTTTTTTTTTGAGGTTGAGAGTTGATTTTAGAGTAAACCAGTGGTACCATGGTGTTACTCGAGAAATTTTACGGCAGAGCAAGCGCTTAAAACGCAAATCCGCAACACATGCAAGAACTCCATTAGCGAGAAAAATTCATCGATATGTCTATCACAAACTAGAGTTAGAGGAAAAAGATGACTTCCTTCATACAGAAAATTGTTCAAAAATCACAATGAGTGCATGAAGTTGGGCCCCGGGTTGCGAGCTCTTGATTGGCTTTGGCTTCATCACGGATTCGGACGGATGAGTGCGGTGTCGATTAAAAAGTCGCACTTTCCCTTCCTCACGCTGGATTGTCGGGCTCAGTGCATGTCGTGTTGACGAAGAATGGAAGAGTTTTATGGTTTTGTAAATGACACATGAATTTTAATAAAAACTTTTAAAAAACTTCGCAAAAAAGTACAAACACTCACGTCCACATCAATTATTGTTCTGTCAAGGTTTTGTGATTCACCAACACAACTGTGCACTATCGCTTCTCTAAAGCACACGGCAAACCCCTAAAAAGAATTGTAGTTGCAAAAATGTAGTTTGAATAATGAGGAAAGAATCAATGGGCCTGTTGCGAACGTCGGCTAGAGCATAAAGAAGAATGGCTCGTCTAAAAAATGGATCAAAAAGTACGATGAAAGCATTGGAAAAGTATAAAAAACACTTCTAACTTCACAGTATGATTAGCAAATTTAGTTTGAATAGACCCCTGAGGAAAAAATCAATGGGCCTGTTGCGAACTTCAGCTAGAGCATGAAGAAGAATGAAAAAATTCGCACAAAAAATGGCTCAAAAATCACGATAAAAGAATCGGAAAAGTCCAAAAAAACACTTCTAACTGCACAGGCTACGTAAAAAATGTGCGTTTTCTGAAGCATCCCTCTTCAAAATCGACACTACGGCACAGGTGAAAATACCCTGAGAAGAGTTGTTCCATCCAACCCTTGCGCAGTAGGAAGGTACAAAATATTCAACATAGCCAACGCTAACACAACGCCACGTGATGTTTGAGCCATTTTTGATTAAAAAAAAAGAAAGAAAGAAAAAAGAAAAAAAATCTCTTCTTTTGGTTCTGGCTGAAGTTTGCAACAAGCCCATCGGAAGTTGAAGAAAACTTACGGAGCCTGCGGGTTGATTATTGAAATTGATAGACAAAGAAGACAAAAGGGATTTGGAGGGATCCTATCGGTGGAAGCGGGTGGTTGCAATGGACAAAAGACGTCGATGATGGACTATCTGACGGCAACCCACGAGAGACCCGATAATTAGTCCATCATTTTCTCCCTTTGTCTATGAAAGCCACCCGTTTCCACCTATAGGACCGCTTCGTACTCTCTATGTCTTCTTTGTCTATCGCATTGTCTATCAATTTCAACAATCAGTCCGCTGTTCGGATCCTTTATCCAGACGAAGGAGGGCGGAGGGCAGGCATCCAGGGCGCTGCAGTTATTGAGCTTCTGAGATTCCCTTCTGGACCAATGAAGTGGGGTCGCGCGTGGCGCGGCGTCGTGAGCTGGTTGATAGTTGGCGCACGATCCGGGGCCGGCGGGCCCTCCGCCTCGGCGTCACACCTCGGGCACGCTCCGGCTCCCCGGAACAGGGGCCGGGGGACCGCGAAATTAAGAGAGTGCATTTATGCCTGCGTTTATGGGCGCGCATAAATACTGTTTATTTATCATTTAATGCTCGGCGCATCGCGCACCGTCGTGTTCGCTCGGGCGCACGGCGCGGGGTAAATTGTTTTTTCGCGCTGTTCATTTGCGCCCGGGCCCGTGTTCCGCGCTCACCGGCGGCCGCGCCGCGCATCCCAAACGAGAGAATGAAAGACGTCGCGCCGATTGCTCTGTCTCTCTGTAATTCTCACCGCCCTGCTTTCGTCTCTCTTCTCATTCCACGACTCCTTTAGGCCTAGTTGTCGGGTTTACCTGCGGGCCTCCATGAACAATCAAACTACAATTGAACCAATTTTTTGCCAAATCACGTAAACGCCAAAATTGCGAATGCGAGAAAATCAAGAAAAACCGTTTCATTCGCTTTTCTGACAATCTTCAACTTTCAGAAAATGTATGTTCTTTTAGAGGGCTATATTTTAAAATCAGACATGATTGATTGTACCGCAGAAAACAAATAAAAAACATGCCCTCCACCACCAAAATAGAGATTGGCGCCCATGTGATTTGTAAGATAAGCGGTTCAATTAACATATGGACAGGGCCGGATTTAGGGGGTGGCCCCATGCGCCGCGGCCCATGGTGGTAAATCTAGGGGGCGACAAATTTTGAATTTTTTTTAAATGTAGGTATAAATAAAACCTCGGATTTAGGAAAAAAAAATTACAAACGAGAAAAGGCTACAAAATTATTATTAATTAATATACTCTCATTTCCTGAGAGTATATTAATTTCTAATTTTGTCGTCTTTCAGTGATGTAAGAGACAGCATCTTTAATTAGTCGAGTTAGGAGAGAACCCAAACACACAATTTGGCCTGGAACGACGCGACTTAAGGGAGAAATGATGACGAGGACTTGAGATGAAAAGGAGAAGCCCTCGGCGCGGCAATCGGCATGCAACACATATTAGCGCCTACAAGACTGCGCGAATACTTCACGCATTGCATCAAACACAGCGCGGTTAATGTGGTCAGCGTGAAACGGATAGCGCCTACAATAATGCATAAATACTTCACGCATTGCGCCAAACACAGTGCGGTCAGCGTGAAACGCATAGCGCCTACAATAATGCATAAATACTTCACGCATTGCGCAAAACACAGTGCGGTCAGCGTGAAACGCATAGCGCCTACAAGACTGCGTGAATGCTT